ATGATGATGAATTCGTTTTTAACTACCATAATTGAATTGGATGTGAAACTTGTTTTAAAAATAAAACAATGCTAGATGTTCTAAATAATATTAGACATTTAGGATCAATTGATATTGTGAATTTGTAATGATGTGATAGTGAAAGATAATAAAACTTCAATATTTTTCTTATTACAGTAAAATTCATTACATGTAAATTCTGACTTCAGTAAAATTTAGAGATAAGATATTTACCATTCACATTATCAGAAACATTTAAAGAAAATTATAGCATTAATTTTTCCTTTCCTTTTTCTTTTTTTTTTAGGTTAGCTATTATTTTCCTCTCAAAACTTTATGGAGATCATTTTTTGCTGCTTTAGTAGCTGCATTTGTTTTGAGATCCATCAATCCATTTGGTAACAGCCGTCTGGTCCTTTTTTATGTGGAGTATCATACACCATGGTACCTTTTTGAACTGTTTCCTTTTATTCTCCTAGGGGTATTTGGAGGGCTTTGGGGAGCCTTTTTCATTAGGGCAAATATTGCCTGGTGTCGTCGACGCAAATCCACCAAATTTGGGAAGTACCCCGTTCTGGAAGTCATTATTGTTGCAGCCATTACTGCTGTGATAGCCTTCCCTAATCCATATACTAGGCTAAACACCAGTGAACTGATTAAAGAGCTTTTTACAGACTGTGGTCCCCTGGAATCCTCTTCACTTTGTGACTACAGAAATGACATGAATGCCAGTAAAATTGTCGATGATATTCCTGATCGTCCAGCAGGCATTGGAGTATATTCAGCTATATGGCAGTTATGCTTAGCACTCATATTTAAAATCATAATGACAGTATTCACTTTTGGTATCAAGGTAAGTGCTCATGTAAGGTGATATTTAAGTAATTCTAGCATGTTAAAAATTTGTACATTGAATAAGAAATGAAATTTTTATCTAAAGGTTGTTTTAAAATGTAGGCTGAAAAGTACATAACTTTTGGGTTTAATTTTAAGTAATGGAAAAGATAATTCCTTAGAATATATTGCTGAGCAAGTTATTTGTTGCTGTGTAACAATTTACCCCCAAATTTAGCAGCTTAACATAACTACTTATTTTGTTCTTGATTTTGTCTCAATTTTGTTGTTTGTAATGGGTCAGCAATTTGGGAAGGGCTCAGTGGGGTATTCTTTTGCCTGTGGTTTCTCATACAGTTGTTAGCAGACATGGCTAGGGCTGGTCATCTCAAGGACTTCTTTGTTTACATGTCTAGCACCTGGACTGAGAAAATTCAGACAACTGGAGCTGTGGAAATTTGGGCTCCTGGGATCTCAATCTCTCTCTTTCTCTCGTTGGATTTTTTGCGTGGTAGCTCAAGGTTCCAAAAGCTAGTTTCCCAAAAGGGCTGTTTCTAACCTAGCCAGACGTCACACAGCCCGACTTCTCTTTTATTCTATTAGTTGAG